TCTCTCGCTGGGACAGTGAGTTGACCAGGGCAATTGACACAATCGCTCCGGAACGTCCCCTCTCGAGTAACCGAGCTAAACCAGCCTCTTGGTTTACTGAGGAGCTGGCAGCGATGAAGCGAAAGAAGAGGAGGCTAGAGTGCGTGTGGCGCCAGAATCCCACCAATCCAGCCCAAACACACCTGAATGCCTTTTTAAGGTCCTACGGTGTGGCAATAGCGGCAGCTCAAAAAACATCTATTACAGCCAATATTGCATCCGCGAAAAATCGTCCGGCTGAGCTTTTCCGAGTTGTCAGGGGCCTGTTAAATCCGCCAAAATGCGAGGCCTCGGATAACTCGGTGGCCCGCTGTGAAGCATTTGCTCGATTCTTCACGGATAAAATTGAGCGGATTCGGTCAGGCTTTGACGTCATGTTAACGGCAGTCTCCGGGGATGTAACGAGAACATCTGCTTGTCCAGTTTTGTTGGATTCGTTTCAATTGGTTCAGCTTGAGGATGTGGACAGGATCCTTGGAGAGGTGCGACCCACCACATGCATCCTAGACCCCTGCCCATCCTGGCTGATAAAAGAAGCCACAGGGGGTTTGGCAGAGTGGGTGAAGGTAATGGTTAATGCCTCCTTACAGGAAGGAAAATTTCCAGCGAGCTTAAAACAAGCTGTTATAAAACCGCTGTTGAAGAAACCATCACTGGATCCCACTCAATTCGACAACTATCAGCCAGTTTCCAATCTCCCCTATTTGGGCAAAGTCATGGAACGTGTGGTGGCAGCACAACTCCAAGGATTTCTGGTAGACACTGATTATCTAGATCCGGCACAGTCAGGCTTTAGGCCGGGACATGGAACTGAGACAGCCTTGGTCGCCTTGGTAGATGATCTGCGCAGGGAGCTGGACAGGGGGAGTGTGTCCCTGTTAGTTCTGCTGGACCTCTCAGCGGCCTTCGATACCGTCGATCACGGTATCCTTCTGGGGCGCCTCATGGACATGGGGCTCGGAGGCACTGCACTGCGGTGGCTCCGATCCTTCCTTGAGGGACGGACCCAGAAGGTGTTATTGGGTGACACCTGTTCGACTCCGCAACCGTTGTTGTGTGGAGTCCCACAGGGTTCAATTCTGTCCCCGATGTTATTTAACATCTACATGAAGCCGCTGGGGGAGATCATTCGGAGTTTCGGAATGAGATGTTATCTCTACGCAGATGATGTCCAAATCTGTCACTCCTTTCCACCTGTCACCAAGGAGGCTGTCCAGACCCTGAACCGGTGCTTGGCCGCTGTGTCAGACTGGATGAGAGCTAACAAATTGAAATTAAATCCAGACAAGACAGAGGTCCTACTGGTCAGTCGTAAGGCCGAACAGGGCATAGGGTTACAGCCTGTGTTAGACGGGGTTACACTCCCCCTGAAGACGCAGGTTCGCAGCTTGGGAGTGATCCTGGACTCATCGCTGAGCCTGGAACCCCAGGTCTCAGCGGTGGCTGGGAGCGCTTTCGCTACAAACTTGTGCGCCAGCTGCGCCCGTACCTTGGGAAGTCTGACTTGGCCACGGTAGTCCACGCTCTGGTTACATCCCGCATAGACTATTGCAACACTCTCTATGTGGTGTTGCCTTTGAAGACTGCTCGGAAGCTTCAAATGGTCCAGCGGCAGCCAGGTTGCTCAGCAGGTCATACAGGGAGCACCACCCCCCTGTTGTCAGCTCCACTGGCTGCCGTCAGTTCCGAGCACAATTCAAGTGCTGGTTTTGACCTACAAAACCCTATGGTTCCGGCCCAGTGTATCTGTCCGAACGGATCTCCCTCTACGTCCCACCTCGGACCTAAGATCCTCTGGGGAGGCCCTGCTCTCGACCCCGCCTCTATCACAAGTGAGATTGGCGGGGACGAGGAGCAGGGCCTTCTCGGTGGTGGCCCCCCACCTGTGGAACTCACTCCCCGGGGAGATTAGATCGGCAACGTCCCTTCTTTCATTTAGGAAAAAGTTGAAAACCTGGATATGGGACCAGGCATTTGGACATCATGGCAGCTAAAGAAAGACCTGATGACGAGCTGGAATTTGACGAGACGGAATGGATTTACGAAACTCCGAACGCTGAGCTCAGGATTAGTCTACTACTGTGTTACTGTATTGTTGTGTAGTGATGTTTTTAATTTTTAATGTGTAATTGTTTAATTTGCTTATATATGTATGTATATGTGACAAAGGCATCGAATTGTGCCTTCCTCTGTAAGCCGCCCTGAGTCCCCCCCCGGGGGTGAGAAGGGCGGGGTAAAAGTGACGGAAATAAATAAATAAATAAATAAATATTGTATATTATGCTTTTATGGTTTTAAATTGTATATCGTTGATTGATTCTTATCCTTGTTGTAAACCGCGTTGAGTCGCCTGTTGGGCTGAGATACTGCGGTATACAAGTAAAGTAAAGTAAAGTAAAGTAAATAAATATGCAGATGACACCACTTTGATGGCTGAAAGCGAGGAGGAGCTGAGGAACCTTCTAATCAAGGTGAAAGAAGAAAGCGCAAAAGCTCGGTTGCAGTTAAACATAAAAAAAACCAAGATTATGGCAACAAGAATGATTGTCAACTGGGAAATATAGGGAGAAAACGTGGAGGCAGTGAGAGACTTTGTATTTCTAGGTGCAAAGATTACTGCAGACGCAGACTGCAGCCAGGAAATCAGGAGACGCTTACTTCTTGGGAGACGCTTACTTCTTGATAAAATAGCGAAGAGTAGAGACATCACACTGGCAACGAAGATCCCCATAGTTAAAGCAATGGTATTCCCCATAGTCACTTATGGATGTAAGAGCTGGACCATAGGGAAGGCTAAGCGAAGGAAGATAGATGCTTTTGAACTGTGGTGCTGGAGGAAAGTGCTGAGAGTGCCTTAGACAGTGAGAAAATCCAACCAGTCCATACTTCAAGAAATAAAGCCTGACTGCTCATTGGAGGGAAAAATAGTAGAGGCCAAGATGAAGTACTTTGGCCACATCATGAGAAGAAAGGAAAGCTTAGAGAAGAGTATGATGCTGGGGAAAATGGAAGGAAAAAGGAAGAGGGCAAGATGGACGGATGGCATCCTTGAAGTGACTGGATTGACCTTGAAAGAGCTGGGGGTGGTGACGACCGACAGGGAGCTCTGGCATGGACTGGTCCATGAAGTCACGAAGAGTCGGAAACGACTGAACGAATGAACAACAACAACATACTGATTTTTTTGAGATCAGAAAAATACTAACAACCTAACAGGATATGGTACCAAGAAGTTCTTCAGCACGGCAGGCACAAAGCCAATTAACAAGGCAGTTGAATTGCTTTTCAATATATTTTGCGTAAGCTTTCTGCAAAGTGCACTGGGCAGCAAATACAACTATGTATTTTTTGAAATACTCCAGCAACTTGTTTTTGAGACATAGTTTTTCATTGACATATGGTGAAATCAATCTGTCAAAGGTCTTTGGTTCCATTTGATTCAATTTCACGAAGTTATACATTTAACAACTCACATACACTGAGAAGAGAATATAATAAAAAAAAAACTCAAGGCCTACTGACTGCCCTTTCTGTAAAACCTTACATTAAACTGAGAAGTAGGAGCCGCAGTGCCGCAATGGGTTAAACCCTTGTGCCACCTGAACTGCTGACCAGTGGTTCGAATCCATGAGGCAGGGTGAGCTCCTGTCTGTTAGCTCCAGCTTCCCATGTGTGGTCATGAGAGAAGCATACCACAGGATTGTACCACATCTGGGCATTCCCTGGGCAACATCTCTGCAGATTGCCAATTCTCTGCAACCTGCAGCTTCTCAAGTTGCTTCTGACATGATTAAAAAAAAAAAAGACTGAGAAGTCCATGACAGTTTTCTGTTGCTAACTCTTTTCCAGTACATTTCAAAAGTTCTCCAAACAAATGGTCATGTTGTCAGAAAAAGATCTAGTTGCCCTATGAAGATCTGCAGAAAAGTTAGTAGTATTCAAATCAAGCTGGATTTTTATGAAGTTTGATCTGTTACAATGTTACTCATGTTCTTTTTTTAATGACATATCTCATTTAAATGTATGAAGTTTTATCACCAAAGAATAATCAAAGAATATTTTTATGAAATTATCACAAGGTTATAATGGGGTTTTTGTGCAACTAACAAAATGTGTCTGCCTTACTGAATCAGACCAAGCTTCCATCTACTCACCATTCTGTGCCTAAACAATTGTCAACCACATATATTTGAAAAGCTTGACCTAGGATTTACATTCAACTATACACTAAATTTCTACACCTCTTTAACTCTTTATACAGTTATTATTTAATAACTGTCATAGTGTTTAAAAGCCGACACATCTTTATCATATAAACAGTCATGTAAACAAGTCCTGCAAGCAGAAAAGGAACAGGTATATAAATGATGCAAACCCATTTACATCACCTTAAATCTGCAATAATTTATAAAGAAACTTGTGTGTCCACTACAGCACTATCCTCCAGAAACCCAACTTAGATGTATACCAATTGGCAGTTTCCAAGCATGTTACAGTAGAGGAAATTGGTCAATTTAATCAACAGTTGGGGAAAAATTGTGTTAAGATACTTGTATTTTGAATCATTGTGTAGTATACTTTGAACTTTGACAAGCTTTGTTTGTACATTGAATGCTCTATGACTATAGTATATACATGACAAACATTCTCATGGTTTATATTATTAGATTATATTATTGTTTATAGTGGCCTCTTGCCCTTGAAAAAACAAGAGAAACGTTTTCTTCAGTAAACAGTCCACTCTTAATAGTATTGATCAGTGTAATCCAAATGTTAATAATAATATTTTAGTATTTTAAATCAGCATTTGCATTGTAAGTTAATTTTATCAGAAAAAGAAAAGACTCCAACCAGGTCACACTTAAAACAAAATTAACATACAACTATGTTCATGGGGTAGGGAAGGAGATGGACAAATATGCTGGCACTTCCCATTTTAATACATGATAGCAAGTACTTACTAATTTGTTTTCCTGCATGTATATTCTCTGTAACTTCAGGCAGCCTTTAGCTATAATGATCATTCCTTCATCTGAGATCTTGTAACATTGTCCAAAATGAATATCTTTCAGTTCCCGACACTCTGAGCCCAGCTGCAAATGAAGTTAATACATGCATAAATATAGCCACTTAGTAATATATACCTGCCTTCAAACTTCACAATATATACGCAAGTATTACAATGTTACAGAGCTAATTTCAATGTTAACTATTAAACTGGTGACAATATTATATTGCTCCCAAAACATAAAATCACATGAACTCTATATATGTCAACAGTTCAAGACAGTTATAATGCAAGCTAACTGATATCCCTAATTTATTTTCTGCCATTGTAATAACACTTATTAACATATAGAAATATCCAATGTAGCCGTCACCTCCAACTGATAAATAAAACTTGCAACTAGAAAGAGAAGCACAGAAATGATAAGGATTGATCAATTTATTCAAATATTTGAAAGCCACTTTCAAGAACAACCCAAGTTAGATCTTAGAATGTGGCAAGGATTCTATCAATGAAGGCAGCCCTTTAAAACCCCTAACTACTTTAACTGTCATGGCTCCATCGTACCTCATGAAACTACAAATTCTAAGATGGAACCCTGGCAGTTAAAGTGGTATAAAGTATAGTATGGATATACCTCAGACTAAGTCCAGCACTTTGCACTGGGTCAAGAAAATACAATGAAAATCACCACAACTGATGCAAAAACTGAAGTTATGTTTAGCATAGCAGAATGTCATATTTTGAAAAAGCTGTATCTTCCAGACTTCTCTCAAAAATAGGCCTACACAACCTATGCCACTCCAGGTGTTTTGGACTTCAGCTCCGAGAATTCCTGATCATTTGAAAAGCTGACTAGGACTAATAGGGGTTGAAGTTCCAAACACCAAAAGGGTGACAGGTAGTGCAAGCCTGCTCAAAAGTAACCTTGTGTGAAACACACTGCAGTAGAAGGAAATCAGTATTCAACCTGAAAAATCAGGGTCTGACAAGGAAATAGGGGATATGCAACCCAAAATAGGTAAAAAAAGTACTCAAGGAATACCTGGCTACTCTAAACAAATTCAGTTCTCCAGGGCCAACTGAACTACATCCAAGAGTATTGAAGAAACCAGCAGAAATAATTTCAGAACCACTGGCAATAATCTTTGAGAATTCTTGAAGAACAGGAGAAGTCCCAGAAGACTAGAGAAGGGCAAATGTTGGCCCTATCTTCAAGGGGGTGGGGGGAGGCTCCAAAGAATTACTGTTCTGTCAGCCTGACATCAATACCACGAAAAATTCTGGAGATCATTAAGGAGGCAGTCTGTAACCAGTTAGAATAGAATGATGTGATCACTAAAAGTCAACATAGATTTCTGAAAAACAGGTCACAAAATTTGGAACCAGATTTTTTTTTTTTTTGTTGTGTCAGGAGTAACTTGAGAAACTGCAAGTCACTTCTGGTGTGAGAGAATTGGCTGTCTGCAAGGACGTTGCCCAGGGGACGTCCGGATGATTTGATGTTTTTTATCATCCTTGTGGGAGGCTTTTCTCATGTCCCCGTATGAGGAACTGGAGCTCATAGAGGGAGCTCATCCGCCTCTCCCTGGATTCGAACCTGCGACCTGTCGGTCTTCAGTCCTGCCGGCACAGGGGTTTAATCCACTGTGCCACCGAGGGCTCTGGAACCAGATTAAATAATCAAAACATTTAAAGCGAAACTAAAAAGCATCTATCCGTACCCATTAAAACATATATGCTGTTGGTGACTCCCTTTAAAATATATGCAAGATTAACGAACATCCAGGTGCTTTATCTAAGTAATATAGTTGGGACAACCCATTAGGGGAACTGAGAGGACAGCAGACACAGATGGTGGTAAGTCCTGAATTGGAAATCAAAAGACAGAACTCAAACTGCTGAGCCACCATACGGTTCTGCTTCCATTCTTTTGTAAGCAATTAATCTGTAAACTTTGAAGTTGACATGTTCTTGGAACACAGAAGTAGCACAAGAAAAAGCAGCATAACCAGTAGTACCCCACTGAGCAAATTGTTCTGTCACCACAACAAAAAGCCGTCTTTCACATTTTTGCCTTGTCAGGTAGTGGGATGCTGTCATGCAATGGGTTGAGCACAGGGCCATAACACCTCTGCACAATTGGGAATGGACCCAGAACACAGACCATGCAAGTTTTTTTAACATGCCACTAGAACAAAAATGGAAAACAATTTCTCAGGTGGCAAAAAATTGGGGTTTGTACAGAACACAACTATCAATGTTAGAAGAGTTCTTTATAAAAACTTAAACACTAGAGTCACTTTATATGCTAAAAGTTTCCAATAGAGATCTTTTGAGTTCTAATCTTCAAGAGCGATCTTTGAGTTCTTAAGAAACAGAAAACTTCTGTTTCTGCACAAATATATATTTTTATTTAACACTTACATTCTAGTCCTATAAGTGGTTATTCAGGAGTTGTTAGGATCAGTGCTGAAGACAAGGATGAAGGGCCTTTCGGATTTGTGTCAGCATTTGTGTCTGCAGAAGAGTTGGAGCAGCAACTTGCTCTGCAGAGGTGATTCAGGAGTCTCAAAAGACTAAGGAGGATGAGCCAGGGCAGGATCAGAATTTCCAATGAAAGAGCCAGAAATAAAGATCTCAACTTAGCTGCAGTTAAGAACTGAGGGCATTCAGCTGAGTTGCCTCAGCAAAGAGCAAACAAGTGAGGGCACTTGAAAAGTGGCATAAAGAGCTAAAGGCTGGACTGATTCTGTACTGAGAACAATTTTTGTAGAACTGCACAGCCAGGATCCCTGCTGCTGAACTCTTGTCTTGGACCTTGATTCTTGTTGGACTGACTATGCTTGTCTTGACCCTGGACTCGCTTGCCTTGAACCTTGATGCTTGCTGGATTTGTATATGCTTTGGAAGATGCGTTTGGATTTATTGATACTGTTTGGCTTGAACACTGGTCTGAACTGTGACTATTCCTGTGCTTTGCTTCTACTGAATTGATTCATGTGTATAACCCTGGACCAACTGCCACTGTTACTGGTGAGCAGCTGTGTTGGCAGGGATTCCTGACAGGAGTCCCACGAAATCTTGTTGGGCTTTCCTTCAAATTAGAATGCAAGTTAGAACCTGTAAAATCTTCCTGGCATTAAGTTCCATTTTACTCAACAGAGCATATTGTAACCAGACATGTATAGCATTGCACTGTACACAACGAGGACAGTATAATACACTCAAAATTTTCTTTTGAACCTTTCACCAAGCTTACCTGCTTGAGTCCTTCATCTGTAAGCCGATCTTGGTTACCCACATGTACTTTCTGTAGTTGAGGACACTGTGAGGCCACTGCAATTATAGATGTATCAGAAAGCTGTTTACATCTATAGGCCGTATACCTTAGCAGTCCAGGGCATTTAGATGCTAGCACACATACTCCAGTATCTGATACATTACGGCAATCTGAAATATTGATTTCAGTTATATTCTGACTCCGTGATGCAATTCTTTCAAGTAACTCATCAGTGACCTGTGAAATAAAATTCAATATGCAAAATTAATTTTGATAACTGTTTTACATTTTTTTATAAAACTGCATAAACAAAAACCAGATGGAAGTATCAGCAAGTTCTGCAGTATATACCTGGCACTCATGAGCAGCATCCACTCACACAAACCTAAGTTTCTTTACAACATAAATTTGTAAAATCTGCTAACAATCCCAACTGTAGTATTATGCCAGCACAACAGATAAAGAGTGAGCCCAAAATCTCCTGGATTCACCTCAATTTCCATCTGACTCTAGCCCAACTCTGACATTCTCTAAAACCTCCACTCTGCTATTGTAGCATTTATGAGGAGCCACCAATCTGGCCATGGTACAAAGGTTTAACTGTTCATTTGCACTGGAAATAACATTATTCTAGATACTAAGTGATCAATATTCACATAATCATGTTCCATGTGTCTTTAGTCTGTTAAGAGTCTTAAGGGTGATATTAACATACTATCTTCCATCCTATAAATATATTAAGCCATAAGGGTTGTAGCTATAGTTGTCAACGTTCGTGAAAGGTGTTTTTAAAAATAATAATAATAATAATAAAAGATAAGAGCTACCAAACCAAGGACAGACAGGCTTCTTCTTTATCCAATGACTACAATACATCATCAAAGTATTATTTAATATTTATATACTACCCTTTCTTCCTCAAAAAGCCATTGCAGTAGTTAAAAATAAGCTTACAATAGAAGAATTTTAAATTGCTATTATTAAAACCTATAAAATGTATTATATACAGTTGGCCTTACACATTTGACCCACTCGGAAATTAAAAAATGACAAATTTTGTAAGTTCCCCCAAAACATGCATTCCACAGACTTCTGTAAACAGCACCAATCTATCACTAACTTTCCCATCCTCCTAGGAACCCACAGCGAGATTTCAAACACCATTCCAGCCCATGAATCTGATCAACCCATTCCTCTTCCTCCCAGCCCACCTCCCTTCAATCTCTTTTCCTTCCAACAGAATCATTCAGATTTTAAAACCATTCCAGACCATCAACCTCCTCACTCCATTCTTCTTCCCTCCCCAGTCCTCTTTCTCTCAATCTCCTGTCCTTCCAACAACACAAATCAAACTTTGAGCCCCATATTAAACCCTTTTCTCTTCCTCCCAATCCACATTTTCTCAATCTCAATGTTGACTGGAACAAGATGGAATGGGATTGCTTTTACAGATGTATTCATTTTTCAATAAATGTTCCTTCATACCTGCTGACGACTACTAAGATCCAATTGCTTCCAAAACTGGAAATCTAAACAAAGATCACGCCAATATTTACAAACCAATGATGCTGAAAGACATCGTTCATTCAAAGATAAGTTGGAAAATATCTACAAAAGGGAGAAAAAAAACAGAAATTAGTTAAAGCTAAATTTCTTGAAATTCTTTCAAAAATATGCCCTGAAAACAGTTTTCTTCTGAGTTTGCGTCTTCGCACTTCACAAAAAATTATTTAATCAAGCTACAACTCTTTTAACTAAAATACCCAGAAATAACATGTGTACTAGATGAATGACTGTGCCATATACATAGGCAGCATTATGCTGAGTAAAAAGCTTAAGGACTTCACTAACAATGAGCGATCATAAAGCAGTTCTATTTGGCTAGAGAACTCATAGACTCCTAGAGTTGGAAGACCATTCAGTCCACAAAGGCCATGCAGGAAAAGACAAGCAAAGTACTCCCTACAGACGGCTAACCAGCCTCAACTTAAAAACCTCCAAAGAAGCCTCCACCCTGCTCCAAGGCAGCATATTCCACTGCTGAACAGCTCTTACTGTCAGGAAGTTCTTCCTAATGTTTATGTGAAATCTTTTTTCCTGCAATTTGAATCCATTGCTCCAGTGTTTCCCAGTCTTCAGAGCAGCAGAAAACAAACCTGCCCTTTTCTCAGTGTGACATCCTTTCAAATATTTGAACAGGTCATTCATGTCTCATCTCAGTCGCTCCAAGCTAAAGACCCAGATCCCGATGCTATTCCTCATTCTAAACCTTTGATAGTTTTGGACGCCCTTCTCTGGACACATTCCAGCTTGTCAAAATCCTTCTCAAATTGCACGGCCCAGAACTGGACACAGAGTGGATCCTGTCTGGTCCTGTCCTTTGGGATATTACTTTACTTTCCAATTTGGTATCATTTGCAAATTTGATAAGCATGCCTTCTATTCTGTCATCCAAGCCACTGATAAATATGTTGAATAGCACTGGGCTCAGGACAGACTCCTTTGGTACCCACTGGCCACTTCTCTCCAGGATGAGGACAGGATCACAATCCAAAATAACTTTAACAGGTTAGAGAGATAGGTCAAAACTAACAAAATGAATTCCAACAGGGAGAAATCCTCACACTGTGGCTCTCCAGCTGTTTCGGCCTCCAACTCCTAGAACAGTGGTTCTCAACATGTGGGTCCCAAGATGCTTTGGCCTACAACTCCCAGAAATCCAAACAGATGACAAACTGGCTGGGATTTCTGGGAATTGTAGGCCAAAAGACCTGGGGGACCAAAAGGTTGAGAACCTCTGTCCTAGAAGATCTAGCCAGTTTGTTCAGTGGTCGGGAATTCTTGAGGTTGGAGGCCCAAACAACTGGAGAGCCGGAGTTTGACGGTGCCTGGTCTAGATCATAGGCCCACTCTATTCTGCTTTGGCCAGACCTCACCTGGAATAACCTTGGCCCACACCTGGGCATCACAGTTTAAGGTCATTGACAAGCTGGAAGGTGTCCAAAATGATCAAATGTTTTGGAACCAAGCCATATGAGGAATGGCTGAGGGGAGCTAGGTATGTTTCGCTTGGAGAAAAGGTGGCTGAGAAGGGACATGATTTATTTATTGTGTCAGAAGTGAGTTGAGGGTACAGTTAAAATGCATTTAAAAACACAAAGTTTAAAAAAAAGAACTTGGCTTTATACTAAATGTTATTTGACCAGGGACATGAGTGACATGTTAAAATATATGAAAGGATGTCATGCTGAGGAGGGGGCAACCTTGTTTTCTGATGCTCTGGAGACTAGTGCTCAATGGATTCAAATTGCAAGAAAAATATTCCCGTGAAATGGGAGGAAAAACGTATTTATAGGAAGAGCTGTTTGACAGTGGAATGTGCTGCCTTCAAGCATGGTGGGGCCTCCTCTGGAGGTTTTCAAACAGAACCTGGATGGCCACCTGTCGAGAGTGCTTTGATTGTATTTTCCTGCCTGGGAGAAAGGGGTTGGGCTAGATGGCCCTGAGGAGGGGGGTCAGTCTCTTCCTAACATTAAGTCCAGTTGTGTTCAACTCTGGGGGTTGGTGCTCATCTCCATTTTTAAGCCAAAGAGCCAGCATTGTCTGTAGATATCTCCGAGGTAAAGTGGCCAGCATTACTGCACGGAGCGCTGTTACCTTCCAGCCAGAGCAGTACCTATTGATCTACTCACCTTTGCATGTTTTCAAACTTATAGGTTGGCAGAAGCTGTGGCTAACAGCAAGAGCTGTTCCCCAGATTTGAACCAGCGACCTTTTGGTCAGCAAGTTCAGCAGCTCAGCGGTTTAACCCACGGCACTACCAGGGGGCGGGGCATAAATAAGGTAAATAAATAAATGGCCACCTGTCAGAAGTGCTTTGATTGTATTTTCCTGTGTGGCTGGATGGCCCTGGAGAGAGCGGTCTCTTCCATTCCCCCCCCCCCTTGAGCTCACCTTGAGGAGGATGGAGGGCGGCAGCTGGTTGATGTCCGGGGTGGGGCCGGGGGGCTCCCCGCGAGAGCAGTAGTCGCCGGGGTTTTCGGGGGGCTCCTCGCAGTCGGGGGGCTCTCGGCGGGGCTCCTGCTGGCGCCGCTCGCCCTTCTTGTTCTTCTCCTCGCCCTCCTCCTCCTCCTCCTCGCCGCCGACTCGGGGTGCTTGTGGCCGGGCCCCTTCGGCGGGCAGCGCCCTCCCGGCCCCGTTCTCGCTGGCGGCGGGCTCCCTGGGCTCGGAGGCGGAGGGCAGCGGGCAGGCGAGGTGCGCGGGTGGCGGAAGCGGCGGGGCGGCGCTGTCAGGGCCGGCGGCGATGGCGGCGCAGCGGGGCTGCTTGCGGGGCGGGCAGGCGGGCAGTCCGACGCCTTTGCGCTTGCAGACCATCTCCGGCGGGGCCTGGCCGCTCTCCAGGGCAGGGCCGGGGGCGCCTCGACGCCCGGGAGGGGGCGGCGGCGGCGGCGGCGGGAGGAGGAGTCCGGAGAGCAGCAGGTGCCGGCGGAGGCGTGGGCAGCGGAGGCCGCGCTCTTCCTTCAGCGCCGCCAAGAGGCGCGGGGAGGGCCGCCTGGCCTGCGGGGGCTCCTCGGGGGCGCCGTGGACCAAGAAGCACAGCATGCAAGGCCCGCGGAGGAAGCAGCCCCGGCTCCCGCCGCTCAGGACCCGGCGGCGGAGGCGAAAGCGGCGGCGGAGGCGGCTCTGCTCCGCGCTGCGTCCCGGCGCGGCTCCCGTTCCCTCCTTCCGCGAGAGAAAGTGGCCCATAAAGGAGTGGGAAGCCCTCTCTCCCGCCGCTCCCTCCCTCCCCTCCCTCACGACATGGCCCCTCACAGCTCCACGCAGAACCGGCGAGCCATTCTCAGGCCGGCGACCACAACACAGCCACTTCCGGGATCTCGGCGGAAAAACACTCCTCTTCCGGCGCTCACGAGGCAAACAAGCCCCGCCCACGAGCTCGGTTTGTCAACCACCAAAACAAAAAGGCACCGGGATGCCTTCACTTCCGGCTTCTGGGGGATTTCCCTTTACGCCTGCGCAGTGGAGCTCAAGCTTCGCTCCGCCAGGTTTGGATTTCAACTCCCAGAAGCCTCAGCCAGTTTGGCCCACTGTCGGGAATCCTGGGAGTTGAAGTCCCCAAACCTACAGGCTCCACTTTTGGGCTGCATTGACATAATAAGACGGGACGGCTAGCGGAACATGGCCATACAGTGCGAAAATCTCACAGCAACGCAGTGATTCCGGCCATGAAAGCCTTCAACAACATATTGACATAATACATGGCTGCCAATCTGCTACCGAACACAATTCAAAATGGGTTGTTGTAGGCTTTTTTCGGGCTGTATGGCCATGGTCTAGAGGCATTCTCTCCTGACGTTTCGCCTGCACTTTGGCAAGCATCCTCAGAGGTAGTGAGGTCTGTTGGAACTAGGAAAAAGGGTTTATATATCTGTGGAATGACCAGGGTGAGACAAAGGACTCTTCTCTGCTAGAGCTAGGTGTGAATGTTTCAACTGACCACCTTGATTAGCATATAATGGCCTGACAATTCATAATGCTGGCTTTTGCCTATAAAAACCTAAACAGTTCCGGCCCAGCTTACCTGTCCGAATGTATCTCCTCCCATGAACCATCTAGGAGTTTAAGATCGTCATGGACAGGGGTCCTCAAACTACAGCCCGGGGGCCGAATATGGCCCTCCAAGGTCATTGACCTGGCCCTCGCTCAGTGTCAACCTACGTCTGAAACAACTTGCAAGCACACAACAGCAACAACAATTCTTTCTCATCAGTCAAAAGCAGGCCCACACTTCCCATTGAAATACGAATAAGTTTATATTTGTTAAAAAATTTTCTTCATTTTAATTATTGTATTGTTTTAAAGTGTTTTTCTTTTTTTTTCTTTTTCTTTTTTTTGCATTACAAATAAGATATGTGCAGTGTGCATAGGAATTCATTCACACTTTTTGCAAATTATAATTTGGCCCTCCAACAGTTTGAGGGACTGTGACCTGGTCCTCTGTTTAAAAAGTTTGTGGACCTCTGGTCTAGGGAGTCCCTGCTCTCAATCCTGCTTGCCTCACAAGTGAGATTGGCGTGGACAAGGGACAGGGCCTTCTCAGTGGTGTCCCCCCCAAGCTATGGAACTCCCTCCTCAGGGATATTAGATTGTCCCCCCTCCTGACTTTCCGAAAAAAGGTTAAAATGTAGCTCTTTGAACAAGCTTTTGAGAATGGAGCGGAATAGATAACATGAAACTAGGATTGATAAACAAGAAAGGCTAGACCAGTATTTCTCAACCTGGGGGTCCGGACCCTGAAGGGGTCGCCAGGGTGTGTCAAGAGAGGTCTTCAAAGACCATCGGAAAACACAGCAATTTCTGTTGGTCATGGCAGTTCTGTGTGGGAAGTTTGGCCCAATCCTATTGTTGGTGGGATTCAGAATGCTCTTTGACTGTAGGTGAACTATAAATCCCAGCAACTACAACTCCCAAATATCAAGGTCTATTTTCCTCAAACTCCACCAGTGTCCACATTTGGGCATATTGGGTATTTGTGCCAAGTTTGGTCCAGATCCATCATTGTTTGCGTCCACAGTGCTATCAGGATGCAGGTGAACTACAACTGCAAAACTCATGAACTTCCAGTATCTTCTGTGTGTCAGGTTTGATTCAATTCCATGATTGGTAGAGTTCAGAATGCGCTTTAATTGTAGGTGAACTGTAAATCCCAGCAACTCCCAAATGACAAAATCAACCCTCCCACAACCCCACCAGAGTTCAAATTTGGGCATATCGGTGTTGGGACTCAACCTGTGTGTGACCCTGTGTGTGACCTTGAGCCTGAATCTCTGATTGTATTGCCTAATGTGGATAATATTGATGTTAATGTTGAAGGGCCTAGTTTGGATAGTGAGGCTGAAGTGATCAATGAGGATGAGGTTCAGGATGGAGACACTTTGGGCAGTAAAAATCCTACAGGCTTTGATTTAGAGACTATAAGGGAAAAACCAGGTTCTCATGAGAAAGAAAATTCACTCCCTTCTTCTGGCTCGAGCTTGCAAGAAAACTTGACACCTGGTTGGGTCAACGATAACAGCCGCAGTTTAGAGATAAGCCAGAGCCACGGGGAAACTCAGTGTTTACGTAGGTCCGAGAGAATTCGATAAACAGTGAAAGCGTGTATTGGTTGCAGAGCCTGTAAAAGTGGAAAATAATAACTGCAAGCAAGAGTTATTTGAAGTGATGTCATACTTAATGTCTATTCCTTCTGCCCCTCACATGGACGATTCAGTCAATTACAGTTGAGAACTAAATGGTTATCCCAGAGAATGGAATTTCACATCTTTGGTAGATAAAATGCTGATAAGACTTGTGTACAGTATATATTTAGGAACTGGGGGTGGCAACGGCCGACAGGGAGCCCTGGCATGGGCTTGCCCCATGAGGTCACAAAGTTGGAAGCAACTGAATGAATAAACAATAACAATGCCAGTACATTATTACATAGGGTTGTTGTAGGTTTTTTCGGGCTATATGGCCATGGTCTAGAGGCATTCTCTCCTGACGTTTCGCCTGCATCTATGGCAAGCATCCTCAGAGGTAGAGAGGTCGTATGTGTTTTTCAGGAATTTTCTCCAGGTTGCATTTGAATTACTCTTAGGACTCTCACTGAAAAAGCACAGAGCTTGAAGTGCTGTGGTCTCTCCGCAGTGCCGCCCCCTTCGGTTTGGTAGAGAAACTGCAATGATTCTATTCGGAACTGAGAGCATTGTACTTGGCAGATAGCAACCCTGCAGTGGGTGGAAATTGCTCACTTACATCAAAATTTGAATTGAAGTACTGCTTCTACAACACCCAGGTTAAATATGGTTTATATATAAAATATAAATATATATTAGAAAATGTATTATATTTATAATATATATTATATAAAATTATATGTGTGTGTATATATGTATGTATGTATGTATGTATTACATCTGTGTGTGTGTGTGTATAATACATATATATAAATCCAAAACAGCAAACCTTGATTTTGCTATTTTATACAAGAGACAACATTTTACTATGCCATTGTGTATAATAATGAGACTTGAAGTGCTCTTGCCTCTTTAGGTAATATATTGTAGATACCTCCTAATGAAATTATTACCACATTGCTTCTTTTGGGATATTTTTTCTAGTGGAGCAAAGTTAAGTCAGTTTGAAAGGCAACTGGAAGGCTCTGGCTTGTAACTTATCCATTTTGTCCTTAGATGGCAGCATTGTTTCAGGCAAAGTGAAAACTTGTAGCAGCATCAGAGCTAATAAGCAAGCAATCATAAGAAAATTGGAACTAACAATTTCAGTAAGATTACTGAATATGAATAAAATGGTCTAAATATCCTAAAGTTAGGTTCTTGTGGGTTTTTTCGGGCTATAGAGCCATGTTCTAGAGGCATTTCTCCTGACGTTTCGCCTGCATCTATGGCAAGCATCCTCAGAGGTTGAGAAGGTCTGTTGGAAGGTATCCTAAAGTTACCAGTCTGGTATCCTAAAGTTACCAGATCCTGCCTATTCTTTGAAACTAAGTAAGATCAGCGCTGGTTAGTACCTGTAGGTTATATTTCAGAGGAAGGAACCTTATGGCAAAGAATATTCTTTGCCATAAAAAACCCTACAAAATTCATGATCTTGACATGCAGCTTGAAAGCACATACACACATACTGAATGTGTGAGATGAAACTGAAGATCACACACAAATTTAGAATTAAAAACTGAGCAATTTTCTTCCTAGTTGGTGGCATCACATTACGGGATGAATATGCAAGCCATCTTCTATCCTGTATGTATTTGAAAAATAAGTTAATTACAGCGCATGGTGTTAATGTACAACTGGAGGTCCTTTTTCATATGAAGGACTGAGGGAGAAAGGCATTAAGCACAAAGCCTATGACAAATATAGCTAACGACAAGTGAACCCAGAGCTAAATAATGGTAGAGCGTGTTATGAATAACTTTCCCACACTGGAAAGGCATATCCCATTTCTGACACCAATTTGTCATGAATAACTTTTTAATAACTTTTAAGCATAGGTTCTTTTTATTGTGATTTCCAGTGTGAGAGGGTCTATCAGATTACAGAAAAACGTTTAGACATACAGATTCTATGCAACTACATTGGATTTACAATTACATGGCTAACCAACAAACAAAGGGGAGTTACATTTTCAATCACCATTCACACACATGTACATGCATTCATTGTCATGCATCCAAATATTAGCTACCGGTTCCGGTATGGTGGCTAGCAGCCAAAACGCTGCACTGCTCAGCCAAAATTTCTAAATCTGGAGGAATCCTGAGCCATCCCCTCACTTACCACCGCCAAATTGAGGGGAGAGAAAGCCCCAAGTCTCAGGCTCCCAATAGAGGGGTGTAGAGCCGTGAAAGAGCCAGGAAGGCACAGAGAAGACGGAGGAAAGGCGGAGGAAAGGCGGAGAAGGAGAAACGCTCACCGCCATTTTATCGCGGCCGGCCTACCTTACATCGATCCAGGCCGCCGACCGCCGACCGCCTCTGCCAGCGGCTGCTGGCTGGGCAGTGCCGCCAGGACTTTGGGCTTGGCTAGCCGGACCATCACTGCTGTTGCCTGGCCTCCGCCGCTGTCGCCGAGTGCAGACGCCGCCGAGGAGGCCGAGGAGGCCGAGCCATCGCCGCGGAGGCCCGTACCACCTTTAGGGCCGCTGCTGCTGCTGCCGGCGCAGAGGCCATCCAGGCAAGGCCGCCCCCGCCGGCGCAGAGGCCAGGGTCCCGCTGGGGCCGCTCTGGGCGGGGCTGCTGCCACCGCCGCCGCTGCAGAGGCCATCACCGAAGCTGCCGCCGCCAAGGAGGAGGCCGACGCCGCCAAAGCGGCCTAGCCGTCGCCGGGGGCCATCGCTGCTGCA